CAATTGAGAAGGTAAAGGACCAGTGGCAGGGGAAAAGAGGAATAACATACCAGAGACCAACTAATACCATGTTCTACTGCCGGCATTTGAAGGTTGAGAACCATCTATGGATTCATCAAGAACCGAACAGCTACTACAATTTTTTTTTTTGAAACAAGAAATATAACAGGAGTACTTCTTCCTAAATTTTAACAAATGTGTTAACATATTTATATAGAAATCATGTGATTGGGTCTCGAAAAAAGATGAACAGGTGAATAAGAATATTCGTGGCAGGAGTCATGGAGACTGAAGAGGACACCCTCTAACTAGACTGGACTCCTAGTGTAGGGAGGGGAACACCAACCTACCCACAAAACTTCAACCCCAAATTTACCCTGTCTACAAGATGTGCAGGGATAAAAATAGATAAGAGATTGAGAGAATGTCTAACCAACGCCTGGCCCAACCCGAGACTCACTCCATGGGAGAGCCAACTTCTGACACTTTTAACAGGTATTGTGCTATGCTTGTAGATGGGAGCTTAGCATAGCTGTCCCCTGAGAGGCTCCACCCAGCAGGGATTGAAACAGATACTGAGACTCACACAGCCAAGCATTGGGCCAAGCATAGGGAGTCTTGTGGAAAAGTGAGGGGAAGAATAGAAGGATCCAAAGGGGACAGGAGCTCCACAAGAAGATCAAGTAACCTGGGCCCGGAGGGGCTTGTGGAGACTGGAGGATCAGGCATGGGCTGGACCACAGCCCCTTACACAGAAGTAGCTGATGGGCAGCTAGGGCTTCATGTGGGTCCCCAATAAGGAACTCAGGGACTGTCTCTGACAGAGACTCTGTGGTCTGCTTTTTAATCACTTCCCCCCTGGGGGGCTTCCTCACCAGGCCATAGTGGAAGAGGATACTCTCAGTCCTGATACTACATAGTGTGCTGGTTGTTGTTGGTGGGGGCTTCCCTTTTCTAAGGAGTAGGGGAGGGGAGAAAGAGAGGGAAGGTGGGAACGGGAGGAAAGGAGGGTGGGGGGCTATGGTTAGAATGTAAAGTAAATAAGTAAACTAATTAATTAAAAAAATATTCATGGCCAGGCTTGATGACACATTCCTTTAATCCCAGTACTCAGGAGACAAGGACAGGTGAGTCTCTGTGAGTTCGAGGCCAGCCTGATCACCACGGTGAAAGCCCTGTTTAAATTAAAACGTATTCACTACAATATCCAACGCCATGGTAGGCTGACATACTCATAAGGTAAGTCTCAGGAATTATCAGTTTTACAAGAGTATATATTCAAAGCGTCTAGAAAAATAAATAAACAAACAGGTAAATGCACAGGCTGTGAACTTCTCACATATATGGTTTCAGGTGAAGTAATGTTTAAGAACAGAAATCTGAAATATTCTTACTTTTTCTTATTTCTAGGTAAACTTTAGTGTGCACTTGGAAGGACATTTTGTTTGTTTTGAGACAAGGTTTTACATAGCTCGGGGTAGCCTCCAACTTACTATGGACCTGGGGTGATCTTGAACCTGGGGTTGTCTGTGTCTACCTCCCAAATGTTAAGATTGGATGCATGTGCTAGCACACCTATCTTGTAAATAATTATTTTTAGTTTAGTTTTTGAGACTGTAATAAGCGTTCATGGTACAAAACTCAACAGTTATGAATGGGACAAGATCTCACTATCCCTTCATGGTTATCCACATGCATTATGGTAACTGAAGGTGGAAGTGTGTTAATGGAAAACTGTTGTTTGTGGTAATTGAACTTTTGCATACCAGAACTATGAAAATGATGGCTACTTTTGCAGTGGCAGATTACATTTTCCCGAAGGAGAATAATTGCTAATGCTAACTTACTTTTTTGTTTTGTTTTTTTTTTTTTTTTTTTTTTTTTTTTTTAGAATCTTGTGATCAATAAGATAGAATCATAATTTTTCTCTACCAGAATCTTGGCTGGCGACCAGTGAAGTTCAGCAAATGCGACTCTGTGAGTTCCAAGGACAGGACAGCTCATGCTTCAGCAACACCATGCTGTGAGGAAGTTTAAGTCAACTCACATGGAGAAAGAGCATGAAGTTCATACAAATAGATTACAGTATTGCATTTAGATTTTTTTCTCATCCCTTTTTTTCCCTTGTATATTTCTTGAGACAGGGTTTCAGGTAGCCCAGGTTGACCTCAAACTCACTCTGCAGTCAAAGCGGGCATTGAATTTCTGGTCCTCTTGCTTTCATATCCTGAGCTCTGGGATTATAGGCCAGAGCCACCATGCCTGCCTTTTTCCGTTTTTTTTTTTCATTCATTATTATTATTTTTTAATTTCATATCTCTATTTGGTCTGGCACTTATTGTGTAGCACAAGCTGGACCAAAATTTGTGGTACTACTTTCCTGCCTCAGCCTCTCGAGTGTTGAAATTACAGGTGGCACCATGCTGCCTGGCTGATGTTTCTTGATGTGAATAACTGCAGCAAATATCTTTAAACATACTTCTCCTTAAACTCTTGTGAATTCATGTGCTTGTTAGATTACAAAGTCCAGAGCGAACACACAATCTTCACGTTACAACGGTTCTTTTTCATACCTAATAGTTGAGTTAATCAATGTCTTAAGTTTTCAGGTTTCATTTATTTGGTAGCCTATTTTGTTAGTGAAGTAAAAGTTACAACTGTTGTTTATGTTAACAGGATGAAGGCACTGGTGGTTCAAGTGAAGAAAATTAAAGACTTACGTATTTTAATTTTACGTTGTGTGATTATTTTGCCTGCGTCTATGTGCACCACATGGATGCAGTGCCCATGTTGGCCAGAAGAGGGCACAAGATCACATGGATCTGGAGTTTCAGATGGTTTGAGCGCTTGTGTGGGAGCTGTGAAAAGAACCTGGGTCCTGGGCAGGAGCCTCAGGCACTCAACTGAGCCATCTCTCTGTGTCCCCCACCAATGAAGATTAAAATTTAAATTTTTAAGAGGAGAAAAATTACTTTCTGTAGGAAGATGCTTAGATTCCTTTAATTAAGACACAGACATCTGAAAATGCAGCCGACTAACAAAGAACAGGTGGAGAGCAGGGGAATTTTTTTAAGGAAACAAAAATTTGGGGGTTATGTATGGGGTCAGGTCAGTATCCATTCACGTTTTGTTGCACTCAGTGTTAACACTTACCAAAAAGCCACTCAACTGCAGACAGAACCTCATGCCTGTCACTTGAGGACCTGGGTCCCTGTCACAGGTAAAATGATACTTGCTATTGTTGACTGAAGACATGAGGGCAGTTTATTTGACACTTCAGATTGTTATTACAAAGAACATTACTGGGTTGGTGAGATGGCTCCGTGAGTAAGAACACTCACTGGCAAGTCTGATGACATGAGTTCAACCCCTGGAATCCACACGGTTGAAGAGAGGAGCAGCTTCCACGAGTTGTCCTCTGACCCCCACACACTCACTATGACACATGTGTACTTATAAACAGGCACACGTATACAAGCATACCAAATATAATGACAGTGACAATACACTACCACACACTTGAAATATGGAGGTATGAAAAATAAAAACTCAAGATTGGCCTGGGCATGATGATGTATTCCTCTGATCTCAACATTTGAGAGGAAGAGGCAGGTGGAGTTCTGTGAGTCTTAGGCCATCTTGTTCTACGTGGTGAGACCGGATCAGTCAGGGCCACATAGTAAGACTCTGTCTCAAAGAATCAAACAAAGAAACAACAAAAGAATTCAAGGTTGGGGCTGGGATGTAAATTGGTAGAGGGCTTGCCTAGCATGTTTGAGGTCCAGGATTGGATCACAGCAAGAACTGGATGATATCCACACCTGTAATCCCACCATTCCATAGGTAGAGGTAGAAGATGATCACAAGGTTAAGGCTATCCTCAACTTAGTGATTTGAAGGCTAATCTAGGCTATGGAAAATTCTGCCTGTTCCAGAGAGAGAGAGAGAGAAAGAGTGAGAGAGAGCAAGAGAGAGACAGAGAGACAAAAAGACACACACAGAAAGAAAGAGAGAGTGAGAGAAAGATACAGACAGACCAACAGAGACGGGGGGGTGGTGGTGGAAGATTTGGTCTAAAGAAGCCAGTGGCAATTCATACAGAATGACTAAATTCTGAATTCTGTAGCTTGTAGATTTCAAATTATTATTATTATTTTCATTATCATCATCATCATTATTTTTAGATTTCAAATTCTCTGTTGTAGCTTCCCATGAACTTTGTCTGGGTGGTAAGTTCATCGAGATTCTTTACCATATTTCTTTCCCAAGGTGCTACACTTGTATCTTAGGTCTCTGTGGTGGTTGGTTTCTGTCTCAATAGACCTGATAAGACAGTATTTTAGTTAATATGTAGTAAAATTCTGAGAGTTCTTAAACAAACTTCCTGGTCTTGGAATTGCCCCCAGAGCACTTGTCTAGTAGATTTCAGCTTCGTTTGCTCCTTAATTTAAAAAAAAAAAAAATATGTTCGGTTGCTAAGCGTTCCTATTTTCTTCTCTCTCTCATTGCTTACTATTAAGGCTTCCAATTTTTAAAAATATTTATTATGAGATACGGTTTGCCAAGCATGCACAGTCAAAACCCAATTTCCTGCATAGCTCAGCCAACCTCAAAGAAGTACGGTGGCTGACCGACCTTAGTATTCTGCGTTAGGCTCCTGTGGCCAGGCTCCTGCAGCCAGTGTTGCTAGAACGCAATCTGCGATCCCACCGTTTTCTTTGCTTGAGGAGAGCTCTTTTATGATCTAACCTTTAGCCAGGGAATGCCTTTCATTATGGGAGCGAAAGGAAGCTAAACTATAAAATAGCCATGCTGTGATGGTCCGAGCTCTCTAAGATCCAAAGGTCTGAACTAACTGGTCTCAGCATTTTTTTTAAGAGGTAGAGGTAGTCTAACATTGTAAAAGAAGTAACAGCCACTCTTGCAAATGAAGTGATGAAGCTAAAGCAAGATGGAGACGTGAGGACAGCAGCCGTGTAGGAAGCCAGCCTTGATGAGGGATGAAGAGCACCCGCTGGCTCACCCCGAAGCCTGTCAACTCTGTCGTCCTTGGCTTCGTCTGGATTTCTGTGGCGCAGTGTACAGTTCTGAGCAGCTGCCTGACGTCCTGTGTAACTAACCTGGTAAGTTTCACCGACCTAATGTTTGTCTTTGTAGGGACTAGAACAGGAATCCCACTGGTAATCGACAGGTTCATATTCTTTTCATGAGAAGGTAGCCAGGAAAGCAGCTTACTTGCCCACCCCCTACTCCCTGGAGGTAGAAGAATGTATGATTTCCAAATATAAGGCAGAATAGTTTATTTGTTATTAAGTTCTAGATTTTTGAGGGGAATACCAGGCTTTTAATGGAATCAGATTTTATAAACTGTAAAATTTCTACTTAGTAATTTACCATAAAATATTAATATTCATCTGAAATATGAAATAGGCTTTTGTCACACTGTAAACTTTCTAGTTCCAGTTAACAGCAATGTTCCTTTGGATTGATTGCTGATGAGGAAACAGGGGCAGATACTAGGTACAACATTTTGTGTCAAAAGACTGGATCATTTGTATCTCTTTACTATGCATTTGTCAGGTTTGACTAATCAGCTTTGACATGAAAAGTGTCTGTCTTCTTTTATTACATTTGTTTATTTAATCACTTTATATCCCGATTGCATCCCTTCCCCCACCCCTCCTGGTCCAACCCTCCCACCTATGTTTTTCTTTCTTATTGTTGTCTCTTTTGCATGTATTGAATGATGTTGCTTCAATAGTGACACAGTTGTGCTTAAAACAGTCATTACCTTTATTTTAAGTTAACTTTTACATTTTATGTTTATGAGTTAACTTGAAAATCCAAAGGCTGCACCTGGGAAGAAATGCATTGTTCCTCTCTAAAGATTAAATGACATGATAGATTAGGTATGGCATTTTGCAGTTTCATTTTACAGAAATTAAGTATCTAACACTATTCATTCTTACTCCAGTTTATTGGAGGTGAAGTTTGAGGTAGATTAGAAAAGGGTGTGTTACTCATGTTTAAGCAAAGCAGTAAATTGTTGCTTAGGCAAACTGTAGACAGTAGCTTTTTAAAAATAGTTTACAGAAATATTTGCTAGCAATCTTATGCTTTTGAGCCAGAAATGTTTGCTTTAGCTTCTTGTAGTTGTACTTCAAACTTAAAAACAGAAGCATGGAAGTCACAGGGTGTCATAAGCAAGGTTGAAGCACAAGGAGTAGGAGAGGAGGAGAGTAGTGCCAGCCAGACAACAGCAAATGTACGAGACTACTGTTTTCTGCCCTAAAAGAGATTTCTTCATTTACTTTCTGATGAGTATATAAATATATTGCAATATATGTATATATCTATACATACCATACTGTTTATATGATAAAGAGAAAAGATGAAGAAAGACTTGTTAATGCTTGGTGTTTTTCTCACATGTATCTTGATGTGTGTGTATTATGTTCTTTTTTTAAGACAGTGTTTTACATGGTAGTCAAGGTTGGCCTCAAACTCATGGCAATCCTCATGTCTCAGCCTGTCCAGGGTTAGAATTACAGGAACAAGCCATTATGAATGGCTTAAACATATATATAATTTTACACGCCGTCATTTCCTTTCACATTATATTATAAATTTCCCTTTATATCCTAAAGTTCTTTGGAATCAAGCTTTTAAATATATTTAGAGAGCTCTGTCAAGAGTGCACCACAACCAGCTGTTTTCAAAACTGCAGTCTTCGTTTTGTTTCTAGTTCTCCTTATCGTTGTCCATGTGTGGGCTCCATGCCCTCTGGGTTTGGCAGCCCAAACAGACAGTCTGTTCCTTTGTTGAGCTGCCTTCCGTTCACCACCTACAGAGGAGGGCACAGCCCCCGAGGTGGCAATTGCAAGAGACACAGTCTGCTGGTTCGACCAGTAAACGTAATAAAGTGTTCTGAGCTGGGCCTCCCCCACAGGCTTGGGTGGGACAGGAGGAGATGGATGGACAAGTGGCGTAGCCGCTGTGAGGCAGGAGATACCACCTTAATATTCCCTGCTGTACTTTTTTTAACTCGGACATTTGCTGGGAAGAACATCTTTGATTTCAGGATTTTGATAGGTGGCTGATATTAGGCAATCTTCTTTTTCATTTAAAAGGAGAACAAATTCTTGCACAAAGGAATGTTAGGGTTAAGTCAGGCATGGTGATTCATGACTATTGTCCCAGCAGACAGGAGGCAGATACAGAATCAGTACAAGGTTGAAGCTTGCATGGACTGCTGAGTGAGGTCCCCCCGGGGAATCATGGGCCACAGAGACAGTCAGTGGCAATAGCCAAACCACAGAGGGGAAAAACGTTAGAAATAACGGGGGAAGCGGAAGCCTCAGTGCTGTGCTTGAGCAGGGTTTTTATTTTGTATTGACTGACTCGATTTGAATTTTAGATGCCATGTGCTGCAGAAAAAAAAATATTGAACGTTCTCAAGACCACCAGTATTGTGGGATGCTTTAGAAAGACAGAAACAAAACAATCAAAGTACCCCCCCCCCACACACAGAGATTATTCATAGTCAAATAATTTGTCAATGTGCATTTTGCTGTAGCTCCTCAGCATGGCAACAACTTAAGGACTTAGTTTTATCACAGTTTTCTTCTCAGTTTTAGAAGTGACTCCACAGCTGAGGACTAAGCTCTGATGTGCTCACTTAGCAGTGTCACTTCTGTTCAGTAGAGTCCCTGGAAGTCTGTGCACACCCAACTCTGCAGTGGCTGCACCTGGAAACCCTAGAAGGTGTGCTGTAACCAGTGCCCTCATCGATATTGCCGCCTGTTGCAGCGTCAAAGTTTTGACCGCTAGACAGTTAAAAATTGCTAAGTATTGTATTATAGTTTCATACTTTTGGTAAATCAGAGAGTAATGAAACACTGCTTAATACTTACTAACCAGGAACCAACACAGGCTTCAGGAAGCTGCCCTGTTTAAAAAAATCATGTGCGACTATCGGTACCTTTTTCAGTATGTCAACATAAAACATTAAAGAGCGACAACAAAAACAAAATAACTGGGTTAGGGTGCATGCTGGAGAGACCCATTAATGGTTAAAAGTGTGTACTGTCCTTACAGAGGCCTCAAGCTTGATTCCTGGGCCCTACAGGGGATGGCTCACAGCTACCTGTAACTCCAGCTCCAGGGGAACCCAATGACTCTAGCCTCTGAGGCACCTGTACTCAAGTGTACTCTAGAATTTCCCCCATCACATAGTTTAAAATAATAAAAGTGAACCTTAATAAGATAATGGAATAAAACCCTAATCTCCAAATTCTATGCATCATCTAGAAAGTTGCCTAGTTTGTTTTTATATAGAAACAGACTGTCCAATAAAATGAAGAATAACCCGGATAAAGATGACAATTCATTCTTTGTTGTTTATAAGACAAAGTATTTAAGTATTTTTTTTAATATTTATGTATTGTTTTGTTGTTTGTTTTTAATTTTTTATTTTTTGAGTCAGGGTTTTTCTGTGTAGCTCTGGCTGTTCTGGAACTTATTTTGTAGTTCAGGCTAATTTCCAAACTCAGATGTCTGCCTGTCTCTGCCTCCCAAGTGCTGGGATTATAGCTGTGTGCCACCATGTCTAGCTCTTTATAGACAAAGATTCAAACTAACATAGCCCTTTTTTTTTTTTTTTTTTTGAGATGAAGTATCTTATAGGCTGCGTTTTGAACTCCCTGTGTAGCTGGATGATCTTGAGTGCTCAATCTTCCATATGCTTCACTGTGGAAAAAGGTGCCATGCACTTTGAAAAGAAAAATACCTTCATTGCCACCAGTTGCAAATAACTTCTAGGAGCTATAAACAAAGAATGTGATTAAAATATAAGCCGTCAACAGAAAAACCAAGCACATTAAAAAACAAAACAACCAACCAACCGAATTCCTTGACTTTGTTTCATTAAAATAGTAGATGAATTTACAGAGGGAAATGCCAAAAACCTTGGCGCAGAAATGCTTTGAAAAGCCTAAAACAGGGGCTAGAGAGGTGACTTGAGGTTAAGAGCATTTGTTCTCGCAGATGATCTGGGTTCAATTCCCATGCGTCATATGGTGGCTCACAAAAGTCCTAGATTTAGAGGATCCAACAGGCATGCACATGGCACATATACATGTATTTAGGCAAAACACTTATACTCACATAGTGAGATGAATAAATCATACAAAAGAGGAAAGCCTAAAACAAATCCAGACTCCCTAACAATTTAACTTTTTTTCGTTTTGTTTTTGTTTTTTGTTTTTTCAAGACAGGGTTTCGCTGTGTAGAACAATTTAACTATTTAAAGCTTCATTTATTCTGCTTATTAGGAAAATAAACAGTAAATAATAAAAAAGGAAGTTCCAATGTGGAAAAAGATATTACAAGTGACATACATATGTGCACACATATAATCAAGTTGGATATACATAAAAGCTCTTAAAATTAGGGTATGAATAACCACAAACCAGAACTTTGGGGCTGGTGAGATGGCTAAGTGGGTAAAGAGGCTTACGACAAAGCCTAGTGACTTGGATTCGATCTCTAGGATCAAAACGGTACAAGGAAAGAATCCAGTCTCTCTCATTTTTCTCTGACCTCCACATGTGTCCAGTGACATGTGTAAGCCACCTCCCAATAAATGTAAAAACTATAAACTGATAAAATGCACTGATAATAGTCAACCTCCGATCAAGCACAGAACTGGAAAAGAAAAGCCAATAAATCATTTCTGCTATTAGCTTGGGAGGAATACGAGTATTTATGAACAACAACAACAAAAAATGTTTGTGGTTAACAAAGGTGTGGGTAAGCCGGACTTGGCAGTCCCCATAGATGAGGAAGCAGTAATGTTGGGTCTGGGGTTGCACCAACAACACACCAAGGACACCATATGATGGAGCGGAAAGTTTATTATTTTTTTATGCAAAAAAAATTTAAAAAGAATAACTGGTAGCCAGGGACTCGGTTTCAGTAGCCGAATGGGAAACCGTGACCAACTGCAAGCGCGTTACAGCCTTTCAAAAGCAGAGCTCGTTAGTAGAAAGGTATGTGCAGGCAGGGGTTGTCTTATCTGGTCAGCGCCAGGTGGACTCATTATTTTTAACAAAGTGGGGAGTCA